GATTGGCTGCTGATCAGACACAAACATGACACGTCAGAGCTGCGATCTGATCGGCTGCTGATCAGAGCTGCGATCTCATCGGCTGCTGATCAGAGCTGCGATCTGATTGGCTGCTGCTCGGACACAAACATGACACTTTTCTTCTGGTACAAACGTTTTTTGTAAAACTGGTCTCGGTGAACATAGTTTCATATTCATAAAATATAAAACTATTTTCAGGCACAGTTTTCATATTGAAACAAATTACAGATTAAATCAGATAAACAACCAAAACTGAACATAAAGGAGGAAACCTGCAAACAAATGGGAGTGGCACAGAGAAAATAAACTTGTTCCTTCCTGTGAGCTCATTCTTAGCTCCACCTCATGATGCAGAACTGGAACGCTTTCAGACGGACCGATACGACAGAGGTTCTGCTGGGCCCGGTGGACCTGAGGCTAACCTACCTGCAGCAGACAGTGACCACAGCAGCGCCGACGCAGGGATTTGGACCCGGGTCCAATCATGTTCTGCTGCGCCTCCGACACCCCCAGAGAGACCTGAAACACAGGCAGAGGACCGCTCAGGACCACAGACACGGTACCAGCAGAACCCAAAGAGGTTCTGATTACACTACAGGTCAGACTGACTCGAACTGGAACGAATGGACTTGAGACCTGTCCAGGTGTCCCCTGCCTCTTGCACAGCGACAGCTGGATGAGGGCACCAGTGACCACCGCGACCCCAAATGGAAGAAGTGATGGATTGTTCCTAGATTTAATGTATTTTAGGAAAATCCAGGCAGCTCAGCCAACACTGGTAAAGTGACAGAATATGATGCACTCCTGGATTTGCTCCAGACTGTTATAAATATAAAATGATGCAAAAAGATTTGATACAGTAAAGAACCTGAAATTATTGTTTTAAATGAGTTTTATTTGTTTAACTTTTCATCTTGTCAATTATAGAACTGAATAAATTTATGATCATTTCAATTAAAAAATACTTTCTGAATCGAAAATAATTTTGAATTTGACGCCAAAAATTGAATCGAATCACCAGACACAGATTCACACATGTAGCTGAAGGGCACGCGAAAAGATCGAAGATGTACGCTAACCATCAATAATAAAAATAATACGGAATATTAAACAGCAGCCCGAACATGAGTCTGTGGTGAGAAGATGGGTATGAATACAGCAGCATGGATAATCAGCAGCATGAGATCAGCAGCACAGATAAAGTGATATATCATCAATTAAAGTGGCATCACGGTGATTATTCTAGTTAGAGATTCATGAGTCTAACAGCCTCAGGGTAGAAGCTGTTCCTCAGTCTAGTGGTTCTACACTTAATGCTCCTCAACCTCCTTCCTGAGGGGAGTGGGGCAAAAAGTGTGTGTGCTGGGTGAGTGTGGTCCTTCATGATGCAGGTGG